TGCGTTATCCGCAATAGACACCTAAAACAATAGGCAATATAGTCTAATAACAATAAACAAGTGCTTCAGAAATACTGAGCTTGTAGACTTATTATTGTCAATACAACCTAAATACAATTAATCGCATATGTATTTATTTCTTAATTGAAAACCATATATTCCATTATATGTTGTGACTTTGTAAAAAAAAAATCCATATTTACACCGATCAGTACTGGCCTTTGTTTCAGCTGCTGTAGGCGCCTATGCTCGCCTTGGAGAACCTGTGACTGTGACGTGGGCCATGTCTCCCATCAAGGAGTTCAAGGTGATGAAGGATTACAGGGTACTGTTTCAGATAACAGGCAGCAATAAAGTAACAGTTGCTGATAAGGAACTGAGGACCAGGATTAATGGCGACTCATTGTCCTACACACGTGGAACCTTCAGTTTCCAGCTGTATAACGTGACCCCCTCTGACGCTGGTCAGTACAGCTGTTACCTGGACCCGACACGTCCGCCGTATAGAAGAACAAGGATGCCAAACTGTGGACAAACACTTTATGTTATTGGTGAGAGTTATCTGTATCAAAGTATCTGTACCTGTCACAAGCCAGAGATAAACTGCAGAATAGCTGCAGAGAGGTTTAAGGTCGCGTTCAAGATTATATAGCGAAGTACATGCTGTTGGAATTTTGAAATACACACTAGCTACTTAAACTAACGTTTCAAACATTGTAGTCATGGAGGCTATAGAAACATGTTATTGAGACGCGATCACTTTATACTTTATAATGTGCCAAATAATAGGTCATAAAATAACAAAAGAAATCTGATTTACAGGGTTTGAAGACATCTCTATCCAAGCCGAAGAAGTGGAAAACAGTGGACCTGTACACCTTACCTGTATTTGTAGACTACGGATCTATCCGGATAGCGTCCCAACTGTGTCAATCACATGGAAAGAAAATGATGTCCGTCTGTATAGTGGGGGGAGGAATCACATGGCGTCATCTGAGACCTGGAGTTACGGGTATGATGAGAGACAGATAAACCACACCAGTACCTTGACCATTCGTGATGGTTGGCGGGAGAACGACAGATACAAGTGTCAGGCTGGAGTGGGGGAGATACAGTCTGAGTCGAGTGAGGAGATTGTCCTTATAAGTGAGTGGTGTCAACATGCAGATCAATTATTTGTGATCTTTCGTCAAGAGATAAAGCGCACGAGTAATGACGAGTGATCTTACTACACATACCAACATTCACCCCGATCATGTGTGTTTGGTGAGCGGTATCTTGAGTAATGTGGATAGTAAATATATATTACCAGAGTAACGTTTGCCATTACCCCAACAAGATGATGCCAAGCATGGCTATTACTGAAAAACTGTTCAACGTGTTGTGAAACTCAATAAGTCACTGAATCATATGTACATCACGTAAGAGGCTTTTGGTCAAGTGTAAAAGCGAAATGTAGATTATGACTGAATCACCGTTTTTTTTGGTAGTTTCAAGTAAATTGGACATTCATGTTAACTACAATAAGTAAATATATTACAGACTGGTCTGATGATAACAAGAACTACACTGTGGTGCCTGAAGGAGAGGATGCCATGATGACGTGGAAGATGCCCTCCCTGGAGAGCGGGGCCTACATCACGTCTCCCTCTGGTCCACATTTAATGCGGAAGCAATCTGATAAATGGAACGTTGGGTATACCTTCACCTCAAGACTGCAGATCAAGGGAGTTAGTCATTCATCTGAATTTGTCATTGCACGTCTGTTGCTATATAATGTCACAGCAGCTGACGCTGGCAAATACTTTTGTGTCAGCGGATATCGCCGTGTACCTCAGTGTGGACATACCCTGATTGTCTCACGTAAGTGAATACAAACTGTCAATATTTTGGTTCGTTCTCGTAAAGAATGAAAGGGGAAATGCTCGTGTCAATATTTGTATTAATTCTATATTTATTCAGCGTAAATTAATGTCTTTGATATATTTAAAGAGAACAGATTGGGGAAATATGACTGGTAAACGATTGAGATATCTGCAAGTCGACAGTTAACCACATGAAATAATATAAAATTGTATTTAGTGTCCTTACATGTGATATTTCGAAAGGAATTTGAAATACTAAATTATGTCCTTGATAAATTAGTAATATCACTTTGTAATATATCTCCATATCCCTCCACTTCTTTAAATATTAACATTGCTCAATAACTGGAGGAATTGGTAAAAATACAGTATACTGTGACGTAATTACTTCTGTTTAAATGCAAACGTTGAAGATTGTCTCGTCGATATGTCACCCTTCAAAACATACGTTGCTGTGTATTCCAGGGAAGCCAGAGAAGACACACATCACTGCCACCGAACTTACTGTTGTGGGTGAGAACCTAACCTTGTCCTGTTCCACCACGTCCCGGAGTCTTCCCCGGGACCACACTCTGACCATGTCCTACATCTGGAGAAGAGACAACGCCAGGCTGCTGAGTGGAGGAAGGCATCAGGTGTCAGGCTCCACCTTGAAAATCGCTGATGTCAGAGAGGGGGATAGTGGGAACTACTCATGTCAGGGTACAGAGGAGGGTGGACAGGTGTCAGGTCGGAGCAGCATCTTTGTCCTCATTGTGCGACAGCGTATGTTTCACTACTTTGACACAATATAAACAGTTTGCAAGGTTATAGATGTCTTCATATATTACATAAAGTTTGCTCAAATGTTTAACGATTTCTGAAGGATGGTAAATCCATATGGATTATGTACAGAATCAATCTCTTTACACTGACATGAAGACTCGTTTGGACACAGGCATGCACTCTTGAAAATGTTATACAGACGTTATAAGATTTCTCTGTGAAGTAATTTCTCACTGAGGCAGGGAAAACAACGTAACATGATCAAGTGTAGAGTATTGATTATCTCAATAAGAAAGACATGATGTTTCTCTGCAAACGACGTCTTCATGTCTGGTCTCATACGGATACATGCAGCAATTGCAGAGAACAGAGCCAAATGGATGTCGTGTTAAGAAACCTCTAGGTAATCTGAGCGCAATTGCAAAGAGTTATCCTTGTTCAACAATTAAATGACATAGGTGTAATTGATTAACTAGGTATTGTAAAATTCTCCTTATTAACCATATATATTTCAATATGGAAATTGATCATACACCATGCATCTTGCAAATGAATGCGAATGGTCAAGAATGGATTGATCATTTTGATTGCACCAAGTCAGCTACATTGCCTAGACCATGCATCGCTTAAAGCTAAAAATTTATACAGTGAAAAAGATAATTGGCCACGTGAACGTCCTTTGATTTTAATTACTTGGTCTCAGCTTAGATGGTAGATGTATAGTCAATTTACCATCATACGTTATTTGTATGACTTTTTATAAGTTTCAGCCGCGATCTCACCTGCCATGTACATTATCATCGGCTGTTCAACTGTCGTTATCATAGTAGTCGCTCTTGTCGTCGTGGCGTTACTCCTTCGACGGAAGACAAACAGAGGTAACATTAGCGAACCTTCTTAATCTTCTCAAGTGTACACTGGGTGGAATAATGGTATTATTTGGGGTTTCTGAAAGTCGTCTCTGATAGTTAGATAAAGCTGTACACGTGTCGTAAATGGATATCACATCCGTGACTATAGCGGACTGCAGTTGTGCCTCTACTTGATAACATTGTCTCACTGATGTTTCAAAAGCAAGCCTGTTTAAACCATATGTAATGGATGTTATATTACAGCTAGCAGTGATGTGACGTGGTCAAGATGGGATGGATTGCGCCATTCATCATATGAAGATGTTCAGATGAACAGGACACTTGAAGATGAAGAACAACACTTCAGCAATGACCTTTATGAAGATGTCCAGTTAGTTGATGAAACACAACACTTAAACAATGACGTCGATGAAGATATCCAGTTAGCTGAGGAAACACAACACTTAAACAATGACGTCGATGAAGATATCCAGTTAGCTGATGAAACCCAGCACTTACACAATGACGTTGATGAAGATACCCAGTTAGCTGATGAAACACAACACTTAAACACTGATCTTTATGAAGATATCCACTTAGCTGATGAAACCCAGCAGTTAAACAATGACCTTTATGAAGATGTCCAGTTAGCTGATGGAACCCAACACTTAAACAATGACGTCGATGAAGATATCCAGTTAGCTGATGAAACCCAGCACTTAAACAATGACGTCGATGAAGATATCCAGTTAGCTGATAAAACCAAGCACTTAAACAATGACGTTTACGAAGATGTCATCGTGCAAGGGGAGTTTGACGGCGATAATGTCTAAAAACATGAACGAAATGCTTGGTCTCCTCATTTTGTGGTCTTTCTTTGAACGGATTATATTTTCCTTGAGATCAGTCAGCAATGATGGAAGGGTTTTCCCGAACATACCTTCCTCATAGTCACCGTGCGATATTTACCATTTTTGAAATATTTATAGTGGCCAACAGCAACTTGAGTTACGCAGTTTAGAATATGTTTTTGCACATCGCAGATTTATGGCTTTTGACATGTTGCGCAGCTTCCCAAAAACGCCGCCATTTTCACAAGCCACATCCTTCTGTAAGTAATGATAATTTTCAAGCTACGATATCCTGGAAATACTTCCGTCACTTTTGTATCACTGTAAAACATGTGATTCTTTCAACCAGAATATGACAGTTGTTCCGACTTCAAATCATATGGTAAATGACACATCCCTGTCGTGTCTTGGTATGCGATCGTAGAGCTTGCTTCGCGACAACATTGGCGAAACACAGTCTGTCAATGGAATGTTGTAATTACCTAGGACTTGGTAGACTTCGGTAGTGTTACCGAAAGCATTCCAAATGTCACAAGCGAGTGTTCACACAAGCGAGTGTCCACACAACTGGTTATACATGAGTGACACTTTTTTGCCTTAATAAAAAAGCGAATAAACCCTATCTATGTGAGTATTGGCTATGGTCTGTGAAATGTTCTGAATAAAGGACTCGGCACTGCTTCATTTCCTTACAATGTTTTACTTAGATACTGAGACAACAATTCGAAACTCACCATTACAGAATACCTCCCATGGTTGATTCTAACTTGTATCGACATTGATTATGAATGGTTAATATTTCAAATGTATTCTTTCTTGTGTTAGTCAAAGAGGGACTAAGATCTATTGACCCAGAGACGAGTTAACAGCAGCATTATCAGCTCAATGTAACACACCATGGAGAAAACCCATTGCAAGCATTGATGACATATCTTCAGCGTACACTTCCTTGTATGCTTCTACTGTATGCTGGGATGTGTCCAAATTTACTACCATTTACTTACCTACTACACGCCTATTATCCGATCCTACACGGGTACCCGCTGTTGGTTTCAAGAAGTACAAAATGTCCGATTGGGAATAGTTTGACAGTAGCCCTAGCAACATGTATTTAGATACACGTATAAACGATATCGTCATGCAGATACACTTAAGTTTATTGAAGTTTTATATTTTTTTCAAAGTCATAAGGATGCGTTCTTAGTCTTGAAGAAATGCGAACATTAGTGACTTGTGTAACCATGTGGTTATAGTGAATTTGTGTCATGAAACAATACATCAGGTGGCTAACCACGGGTCCGGGTAGTCCTGAGGATACCCGGGTCCAACACAGTACTACCCAACCCGAGTACCCGAGTTATGCGTCCAGGCTCCAGCTTCTGATACCAAACCATTTTCAATTTTCAAACGGGTCATTGTATGCATGTTTTGGTTCTTAACTCACAACAAAGCCAACACTTAAACACAGCTTAATTTCTGTACATGAAGTACACAAAATGTCAGCAAATAATTCTTCCCTGTGTCAAGTACAGGGTTGTTCAGTAATATACTGCTGAACAGGGCTTTATTCATTGTGGGAATGTCTTTCTATGTTAATATATCATCCAAAACTGGCTCCCACAGGAGTGGGTGAGAGATAGAGGTTATCACGCGAGTGTGTTGGGATGGTAAATATCCCGCGTTAGGAATAAACATTGTATTGAGCGAGCCTAGACATTCTTACTTAACAGGGGCACGGGTGGCCCAGTCGTCTAAGGCGCCGCGATTCGCCTTTGCAGAGTTGCGCCCGTTGGGCACGCCAGAAACCTATGATTGTGGGTTCGAATCCCGGTTCACCCCGATTATGCTTTTAGGTTTGTCAGCACCATACCCGTGCTCGTGGGTTTCACCGAAGTGGTACACGTCTGAGACCTGCAACACCCTCTCCTCCAACATTAAGCTGACACGCCGTGATATAACTACAATGCTGCTGAAACTCGAGTTAAACCCAACTTACTCATACATGCTGTACCGTTAACGTGAACGTAGTATAGATGTGTCTAACCTATCAGTGTACTAACTTAGTCTGACGAGGTGACCATTTGGTATGATTGCTACTGGTATGTTGGTGTTTAAGTGAGGTTCATTTGTCACAGTTAGAGACACCTACTATGTCACATTGTAAAAAAATACATAAAACATTGCAAAACACCGAACAGTGATACGTGTTTTAACCAAAGCAAATGTCAGTTTGCTGAACATAATCATCTTCATTGGAAGGGGCACTGATGGCCAAATCGTCTATGGCCACGTAATTCACAGGATTACGTCCCAAAAGGGGTGACAGAAACCTATGATCAAGAGTTCGAATCCTGGTTCCCCCTGGTCCTGTTGTAGGTTTGTCAGTGCCATGCTCGTTCTTGTGGGTTTCTAAGTTCTAATTAAGACCGATATCAAATCGGACTTTCCTCCCACATCATCCTCATGATATCACTGAAATACTGTTCAAAGATTCGTTAAACCGAACTCACTCACTCACTCATCTGCATTCGATGTTTATCCACATGATGCCAACTTGTCTTGCATGGGAGCTGAAACAACATGCGCGTACACTGAAATAAATGTTGGTGCATGATCCGGTTCCCTGTTTCAGTCGTCAACAGTATATACATAATGCATGCATGAGAAGATATATGGCTAGTAAATAGGGCTTCGGATATGAAAGTTAATTTCTATAATATAATATGCTGTGTAATGGTACCATTTTGACTCAACATTACCAGACTCTTGACTCTTTGAGAACACATGCCTTTATTTAGCTTTAATTCGTGCTCATCGTAAACGGAAAAGACGACCAGATGCCATGTGTTCTGTTTGAATTTGCATCCCAACAAAATATCTTATGCTATAATTTGTATTTATTGATAAATGTAGCCGCATGAATATGTAGGCGATGCATACTATTGTGAAAACTAGGGAATCACTATTAACAAGAGAGGGGACACCAAAGGGAAAATGTGATACTCTATTATCTGTATCGTTATACTCTATCGTTCCTCGGGATAAAAACACATACCTTACATATTTTTTAAAAGAAATGAAACATCGACTATCTCTCCTTCAAACCTATTGTTATGCAGGCAGAGAAGTTTCCCAGCAAGAATGTTCAACAGTTCAATAATGGACTGTGTACATACGCGTTATTTGGAGACTCCCGAAAGCTACATCAAATGCATACAGATTCAGGGTGACATTGCTACACACAAAGTTCGAACTTTGATATTTTTTGCGTCGTATAGTTTGTTGAGACTGTTCTCTCTACAACCTATGAAGGGGTTAAGAATCGGTTTAATCTAGCATGTGCTCAGGATTTGCCCACTGTGTAATCGCACCGATGTCTTGTAGTGTTGAGTGTGCTTACAATCACTCGTTTGCCTGACGAAGATTCGTGTATTTACAGGCCGACGTGACACAGTTTGAATATTGCTAACTGTGACCTTAAACAACTTTAACCCCCCCCCCCCCCTCCACACACACACACACACACAGTCATGAACATCTTAATCACCACATCCATCTCTAAGATTTTACCGCACCGCTCCAACTCTATCATCCAAATGCACAATATAAACCACCTCTTAGCTACCCAATCACCACCTCTAAGCTACCCAAGCTACACATCTGAGCTACCTCAACACAACCTCTAAGCCACCCCACAACTACCTCTAAGCTACCCATCCACCACCTCTAAGCTACCCCACCACGACCACTAAGTCACCCCACCATCACCTCAAAGCTACCCCACCACCACCTCAAAGCTACCCCACCACCACCTCTAAGCTAACCCACATCCATCTCTAAGCTACCCCACCACCACCTCTAAGCTACCCCACCACGACCACTAAGCTACCCCACCACCACCTCTAAGCTACCCCACCACCACCTCTAAGCTACCCCACCACCACCTCTAAGCTACCCCAACGCCAACTCTAGGTTACCCCACCACCACCTCTAAGCTACCCCACCACCACTTCAAAGATACCCCACCACAACCTCAAAGCTACCCTACATCCACCTCTAAGCTACCCCACCACCACCTCGAAGCTACCCCACCACCACCTCTAAGCAACCCCACCACCACCTCTAACCTGCCCCACCACCACCTCTTACCTGCCCCACCACCCCCTCAAAGCTACCCCACCACCACCTCTAAGCTACCCCACCACCACCTCGAAGCTACCCCACCACCACCTCTAAGCAACCCCACCACCACCTCTAACCTGCCCCACCACCCCCTCAAAGCTACCCCACCACCACCTCTAAGCTACCCCACCACCCCCTCAAAGCTACCCCACCACCACCTCTAACCTACCCCACCACAACCTCTAAGCTACCCCACATCCACCTCTAAGCTACCCCACCACGACCACTAAGTCACCCCACCATCACCTCAAAGCTACCCCACCACCACCTCTAAGCTAACCCACATCCATCTCTAAGCTACCCCACCACCACCTCTAAGCTACCCCACCACGACCACTAAGTCACCCCACCATCACCTCAAAGCTACCCCACCACCACCTCTAAGCTAACCCACATCCATCTCTAAGCTACCCCACCACCACCTCTTAGCTACCCCACCACCACCTCTAAGCTACCCCACCACCACCTCTAAGCTACCCCAACGCCAACTCTAGGTTACCCCACCACCACCTCTAAGCTACCCCACCACCACCTCTAAGCAAACCCACCACCACCTCTAAGCTACCCCACCACCACCTCTAAGCTAACCCACCACCACCTCTAAGCTACCCCACCACCACCTCTACGCTACCCCACCACCACCTTTAAATGCCCCATCGACACATTTTTAGCTTCCCGACCTCCCCTATTGTGATATAAAGATATACGTCTATGTTGAACTTAATTATTTTAACTAAGTACTGATAACGAAAGGTCGCATAAATCAACATATATAAATACCTTTTATTTTGCAGCAATAGCTTTAAAAGTAAACGAAATATGAAAGCAAGGAAATATTTTGATGGGATGACCCCAATAGTACTTCCGCGTCGATCACACGCATCAACGTGTAGGGATCCTTGTGTTGCGAGGCCAGATCCCGCACTCTCAGTGGTGGTGATTAAATTACCCTATAAAAACTCTGATGGTGTTGCTGTGGCTGAGGATACTGTGTGTGGTCGCGTGCTGCTGTGTGCAAGGATGTCATTCAGATGAAGGTAATCACCGCTCCACTGCATGCCCTTTATCTACAGTCACAGGCGTGTTGAACTCATGTATCAAGCGCTGAAGAGATGTGAAGGCAGCCATAGAAAATCAGTTGTAACAGACGTGTGAAAGTAGACACAAATAAAATCTTCCGGATGCAAACACTGTCGTTCCGGTTGATCTTCCCGTTTGGGTATTATTCATCTATTCACAATTATTCATTATTCAGAGGATAAATTACTCTTCAAAGCAGCACTTGCTCCCTCCCTCCCTCCCTCCCTCACTCACTCACTCACTCACTCACAAACCCACTCACTCACTTAAATGGATCGGTTGATCCAGCTCTATGATAGGTTGTTTTTGTACTAAGTCGTAAGGACCGTTGCTAATAATAATATCACTGGTTTGTCTGGTCCAGACTTGATTTTTCATAGACCCCGTCATATAGCTGTAATATTGC